ATGTAACTTTTTTGCACGGATTCTACAGAGGAAAGCTGTCAACTAAGCGGATTGGATGATCTTGAAGAAGTGGTAGGGAAAAAATCACTTTTTTTCTGCTTCAAATGTAATTAACAATTGATGTCTTTTGTTGCGCACTAAATCATTTAAAATAAATCATTTGGATACTATAAATAGTATCTAATTTTAAAACGTTAGTAAACAATTCTAAGATGGTGAGGTTTTTGCTTTTCATCTCTTGCCCAAAACCTTTCCCCTTACCCTCTCCACTTTCCTCTCCTTTGTGTTTTTGGTTGTCACTGTTACTGTTTTCATTGATGTTGATGCTTCTACAAATTTCTCTTCAGTTTTTCCAATTTTAAGTGGATTGATGTTTGATGAAAAAAACATTTGAAAAAAAGAAATGGAAAAAGTGAACTGGCACATAAACGGCAGCACAGTGTACCTTGTTAAAAATGTGAACTGTTTACTACTTGACTGTTTTGTAGTTGTCACTGTTGGTGGTAAGGAAAGAGAAGGTAAGAAAAATAAAGATGGAAAGGTAGAGATTGAGGACTGGACACGTTAATTTAACAAATTTTTTAAAAGATGATTTTGACAAATTAGAGTCGAAGTAGCGTTTCTTTTTTTCTATCTGCGTAGCAATCTATATAAAACTTGATAACTTCAGCACCTCTATATAGATCGTCGTAAAATCTGTTGACTTCAAAGCTACTGTTCCTTCACGGCTAAAAAGACTGTTGCACGGTGCTTGAACATCGGCATCAGCGTCAAAGTCAAATCTGATCCTGACAACCAACCTTTCAAGGGCAAAAAGGTTGATCGAACAACAACTTTTTGTATTTGATTTCTATAATCAGCCGTAACAAAAATCATGAAGAATCAAAAAAAAAGAATACATTTTTTCAGTCTAGTAAGTTATTTAAGTAATAATCAAGAAAAGTGATGGGTAGAAAAAAAAGAAAGAAATGTAAAAGAAAAATGGAGTAAACTTAATGAATAGCCAGTTTTTTTTTTAAACAAAAATATTACGGTCATAAAGTAACAAAAATTTATTTTTACGATTCGGTAAATTTGCCTTTTTAGCCTCTTTCTTTCCTTCTTGTTTTTTCTTTTCAGTTATTTTACAGAGGAATAATTGAACAACGAAGGAAAAGAAAAATCAGAGTATTTTTTAACACGTTCGCATAAAGTACCAATATTTTGGGCTCAATCACCCACTTTTGCTAATATCGAACAATCTAAACAATTTAGAACGCTAATGGCTAATCTTATTGATGAAAATGCTATATTGTAATGCATATATGTACTCACATATTCATATTGGTAATCTTGATGATCATCAGTGCAAAATCCTAGAAAAATGTAGCTTTTTCAATGATACGGGTTAATCATCAATATCACGATATAAGGGAACTGGTGTAACAAATTTTTGAAAATTTATTTTCCGTCACATTTGAGCTGGGTTAGTATTTAACCTTTTTGTACTTTATCTATAATGACTAAAGCTATTCTTTGAGCTGAGAAAAGAAAAATGCCGGAAAAAATAAATTTTCTGTTATCACGCTTGAAAACCCCATAGTTTCTTCGTCTAAAACTCCTTCAGTACCATTCATTTTCTTTCTTTTTATTTCTTATATTGCTTTCCTCTTTTACTTCTCTTTTACTTTTTTATTCTGATTTTAGTGATGGATTCACACAAAACTAAGCAGTAATTAATAAAGAAGGAAAAAAGTAGAAAAATTACATGTGGTAATCTTTGTTTCCATGCAAGTCTAATCTTCATTTCCACAGTCTCGTGCAAGTGAACAATGGTTAAAATTATCAAACACACCGTTTGCGGCGGAGTATTAAACTGGGGGAGGTGAATAGGAATTGCAGGTTGTTTATGGCTACAAAAAAAAAAAAAGGAATTTTTGAACAGTAAACCTACTGTTACAACACTTAGTTTGCCATCTAGAAACTGTCTTCTTCAACAGTTTTCAAACCAACACATGTATAGATTAGATTTGAAAAAAATTTCTACTCAAGACTGTCCCATAGACCAATTGTTTTCTTCTAATGTTATGTTCGAAAATCAACTTTTTTTGATGTTTAGAACACATTAAACTTCTTATTATGGCAACGAACACATCATATATTTATTGTTCTTTTCATTCTTCTTTTTCTTCTTCTTCTTCTTCTTCTTCTCCCTCTTATTCAAT